AACGCTGAAAGACCCAATGACATCATCACCGGGTTTCTGTGCTTCTCTGAGCAATGCAGGTAGATCATGGCTGGTGAGAGGGGCTGGCATGATGCAGCACGTGGCTTCCTGAAAACGTTGCAGCATTCTGCCCCAGTACTCCTCTCAAGAGTCCTATCAGAAACTGTTATCTAGAGTCCTGGATAGCAATAAAACACAACAGACCTCAATGACTAAGCCCCAGGGGCAGGCTGGCTGAATTGCTTTTGAGCGTAGCTATCGGGATGATCTGGTGCTGAGGCCGCTTTCCATTTTCCAAATGCATTTGGAGCTGCTTGGTGTGCAACATTTACCCACATAAACTCAAAAGGCCTTTCTAACCTTCCCCGATGCATTAAAAAAAAAAAAGTTTTGCTTGGACCTACACTTTAAACCTCTAGTTGACACACACCTAAGGAAAATTAGAAACTTGAACCTAAAAGTGGAGGTTTGCTTTAATTATACTGTATTGTTGGTTTTATTTTTGGGGATAATAAAGACAAGTATGACAAAATCTACAAAACACATTAATTCGCATTCCTTTCTAAAAACGAACACATGAAGCACTTTCAAGGCAAAAGCACGATGTGAGCCTGTGTGTGAAGTTCACTCCATTTAACGGAGATAAAGATTACTGCCTCAAGATTCGTATTTTTTAACATTTTTTATTTCTGCGTTTCTTTTTAAGATAGAATGAAACGTTTCAAGGACTTTGTGTTATTGTAAAAAAAAAAAAAAGAAAAAAGAAGAAAAAAGCTGCGGCACATAAGTTTTTAATTTCGGTCGTGCTTCCCATTGAAATCTGATGTCTGAAACTGAAATTTAGTTCCGTATGGAAATAAAGCTACTGTTGTCTAGCCAACATATTTCTGCTGTATGGCAATAGGCCTTGGATTTGCATACAGTGGAATGCGAAAGCTAAATTTCAACTTTTCTAAAGCAGATGTTTAGAGAGAACATCTTTATGTGCGTAACCTAAAGGGAAAATGTATTCAATGAAGCCAAAGCAGAGTGAATAAAATGAGTTGAGTCAGTAAAATATTTTCGTTTCAAAAAAGGTAGCTAATCAGAGTTTATACTCTTGGTGACAAAGTGTAGGAGTACAATAGAAGGGAAGAGCAATGTACACTATGAGGCCAAATGTTTTTGGACACCAGACCACCACATCTGCTAAATGGCCGAAATATATGGACACTGCTCCGAATTATTGAGTTCAGGTGTTTTCAGTGAAGGGTACTGTTAATTCTACAACATACAGTGATACCTCGGTTCACGAACGCTTCTGTTCACGAACAACTCGGTTCACAAACAGAAGAGTTCACAAACATTTGATTCGGTTCGCGAACGCCGCTTCGGTTGATGAACGCGAGTCGCAGCCATCTCTTCCCTGCTCTGACACGTGGTCGTGACTTCCTGTAGGTGAGATCGCGGTTACAGGCAGACACTGAAAGTGTACTGTGAAGACACTTACAGTATTGAGAAGCTTTTTGTTGTGCTTTTTTAGCACACACTGTACAGTACTGTACTGTACATCCCTGTGCACACTTGCTGTAAAGCTTTTTTTTTGTGCTTTTTAGCACATACTGTACCGGACATCCAGTATGGCTCCAAAAAAAATGCAGAGAAAGCATGGTGGTAAGAAGAAAGTGCGGAATTGTAAAAGGGGGGTGACCAGAACGTGCAAAGCAAGCATGGCGGTACTAAGAAAGTGCAGAACAGTAATGAAGGTGACAAGAGTGTGTAGAGCAAGCATGGTGGTAAAAAGAAAGTGCAGAACGGTAATGAAGGTGACCAGAATGTGCAGAGCTGTATTAAAGGTGACAAGAACGTGCAGAGCAAGCATGGTGGTAAAAAGAAAGTGCAGAACGGTAATAAAGGTGACAAGAATGTGCAGCAAGCATGGTGGTGGTAAAAAGCATGGCAGAGAGCCGGTAAAATGTGCAGAGCAAAGTAAAAAGAAAGTGCAGAGCCGTAATGAAGGTGACAAGAATGTGCAGAGCAAGCATGGTGGTAAAAAGAAAGTGCAGAGCCGTAATGAAGGTGACAAGAATATGCAGAGCAAGCATGGTGGTAAAAAGAAAGTGCAGAGCCGTAATGAAGGTGACAAGAACGTGCAGAGCAAGCATGGGGGTAAAAAGAAAGTGCAGAACGATAAGGAAGGTGACAAGGACATGCAGAGCAGTAATGAAGGTGACAAGAATGTGCAGAGCAAGCATGGTGGTAAAAAGAAAGTGCAGAGTGGTAATGAAGGTGACAAGGATGTGCAGAGCAAGCATGGTGGTAAAAAGAAAGTGCAGAACGGTAATAAAGGTGACAAGGATGTGCAGAGCAAGCATGGTGGTAAAAAGAAAGTGCAGAACGGTAATGAAGGTGACCAGAACTTCCAGAGCTGTAATGAAAGTGACAAGGACGTGCAGAATGGTAATGAAGGTGACAAGAACGTGCAGAGCATGCATGGTGGTAAAAAGAAAGTGCAGAGCCGTAATGAAGGTGACAAGAATGTGCAGAGCAAGCATGGTGGTAAAAAGAAAGTGCAGAGCGGTAATGAAGGTGACAAGGATGTGCAGAGCAAGCATGGTGGTAAGAAGAAAGTGCAGAACGGTAAGGAAGGTGACAAGGACATGCAGAGCAGTAATGAAGGTGACAAGAATATGCAAGCAAGCATGGTGGTAAGAAGAAAGTGCAAAGCGGTAATGAAGGTGACCAGAATGTGCAGAGCTGTAATGAAGGTGACAAGTATGTGTAGAGCAAGCATGGTGGTAGAAATAAAGTGCAGGATGGTAATGAAGGTGACAAGAACATGCAGATTGTTAATGAAAGTGACAAGATTGTGCAAGCAAGCATGGTGGTAAGAAGAGAGTGCAAAGAGGTAATGAAGGTGAAAAGGATTTGGAGAACGGTAATGAAGGTGACAAGTATGTGTAGAGCAAGCATGATGGTAAAAAGAAAGTGCAGAATGGTAATGAAGATGACAAAAATGTGCAGAGCGATAATGAAGGTGACAAAAATGTGCAGAGCGATAATGAAGGTGACAAGAAAGTGCAGAGCGGTAATGAAGGTGACAAGAAAGTGCAGAGCGGTAATGAAGGTGACAAAAAACGTGCAAATGTCCCCATAAAATTTTTTTAGAACTGAGACTTTCATCAGTCTTGGTTTGCTGGTCCCCTGCTGTGCTTAGTGTGTAGACAGGGTGCAGCGCTCTGTTCCTGAAGAAGAGAAAACGCACACAGAGGTTGATTAGTGCAGAAGAGTATATTAAGGCGAGGATACTGGAAAGGTAGTACATAGTCTGTATATACGGCCACAGCATTTACAGAAAGCTAGGCAGAGGATACTTATACTCCCTGCTGAAACCCAACAGAATTTGCCAAAGGAGGTGACTGAAAGGCAGACTGCAACGAGGCACCTGGTGTGGAAGGGCTCCTACCAGGGGTGGACTGACAACTCATGGGGGCCCCGGGCAATAGGGGATCATGGGGCCCCTGTGTCCTTGCCCAAACTCAAAAAAGCCTATGAAAATGTACCAGGGGCATCTCATGGGGACCCTTACTGACCCTGGGCCCTTGGGCAGTGCCCGAGTTTCCAAATGGTCAGTCCGCCCCTGGCTCCTACCCACACAAAGCAACAGTCCCTTCTCCTCTGGAACCTTTCTCGGCACTGGACACTAGAAATTCTGTACCTGACCTAGCCACTTTGCAAATGCAGTCCCACAAAAGGGGGATAGTGCTATTAATTAGCACTGCCTACACCAAAGATGGCTGCAAAGGTAAACCAGGGAAGCAGCGTCCAATCACCGACGGAAGCTTTAGCGGAACATGGGTTCCCTTGTCCTCCGCTCTCCCTGCACGGTGGCCACAGAACATCCTCACCTTTGTAGGAAGGCCAAACTATACCTGCCTACAAGTGGTTCCTTCTGCTGGCCTCTACCCCACTACAGGACACCACAGTGAGGTTAGGAGCAGGGACATATTTACCAAGGCATTTGCCTAGGGCAGCACTTTTTAGGGGGGCAGCAGTTTCCCCTGGAAGAAGGGACATATACGGCATGGGGACGACGTGGGATCCGACAGAGGCTGTGGGCTGCTTGATGGTGTATACAGAGCCCGATTGTCGTTCCTGGGGATGTCTAGAGCTGTGAAGGTGAGTGTCTTTCTCTCTTTTGCCGGGGTGGGGTGTTAGTGGAAGGCTCTCTCTGCCTGGAGGGGGGCTGGTGTTGGTCGATGTAAGGCTCTCTTCGCCGTAGAGGGGGGGGGGCATCTGATTTTTGTGCTGCCTAGGGCAGCAAAAAACCTAAATACACCACTGGTTAGGAGATTGAGGATCAAACCTCAAAGCACAACGGTGCAACAGAAAATTGACACAACTGGAAGTGTTGGATCAAACATATTCTTTAGTGGGAGATTTTTTTTTATTAATGTGCATGCAGCAGGCGTGCTGAGTACTCATGTACTTCTTTGCAAGAAAACCATATTTTAGTTTATCATTTTAGCAACAAAATCCCTTTAACGAGTTCCCAAATGGTAACCATACTATGAATGTTTCCACTCCCCATTTTTTTTTTTGCATTCAGAAACATAGGCATATATATCATGCATTATTGAACGTAAGCAGAGATATACAGTATATTTGTAAAATTATATTATGTATAAGTGAATGAAAATTAAGTAAATTAAGTATATAATGATACTGTTGTGTAAAAAAAACTTTTTCTCGCTTTGCCTCCCTATTTCTAAAATATATGGTATTCTTCTATGGCAGGGCTAAAAATTTCAAGTCCTGAGCTGCTAGCCAGGCCTTAGAGTTACTCGCCACCAACAAACACACACAAACAGAGACACCTGTACACACACACACAGACATATACATACACACGCACATACACACACAGAAACATGTACACACATGCACAGAGACACATATACACACATACAGACACATGTATACACACACAGGCATGTACAGACACTCATACACACAGATACATGTACATACACAGAAATACACACGCACAGACACATGCACATACACACAGACACATGCACATACATACACAGATACATGTACATATATACACAGACACATATACACACAGACACATGTACGTACATACACACAAACATGTACATGCACACACACACATACATGTACATACACGCAGACACATGTACAGATACACACATGTACATACACACAGACACATGTACAATTGTACATGCATACACAGACACACACACACATGTACACGTACACACACACACACACACACAGACACCCCATAAAAAGTTGCAGTACTTCGTTGATCACTCACAAATCCAGGTACTGCACTCTAGGGGGAGGCAGAGAGCACAGCATACATACATACACAGATACATGTACATATATACACAGACACATGTACACACAGACACATGTACGTACATACACACAAAAACACATGTACATACACAGACACATGTACACACACACATACATGTACATACACGCAGACACATGTACAGATACACACATGTACATACACACAGACACATGTACAATTGTACATGCATACACAGACACACACACACATGTACACGTACACACACACACAGACACCCCATAAAAAGTTGCAGTACTTCGTTGATCACTCACAGATCCAGGTACTGCACTCTAGGGGGAGGCAGAGAGCACAGCATACATACATACACAGATACATGTACATATATACACAGACACATGTACACACAGACACATGTACGTACATACACACAAACACATGTACATGCACACACACACAGACACATGTACACACACACATACATGTACATACACGCAGACACATGTACAGATACACACATGTACATACACACAGACACACGTACAATTGTACATGCATACACAGACGCACACACACATGTACACATACACACACACAGACACCCCATAAAAAAAGTTGCAGTACTTCGTTGTTCACTCACAGATCCAGGTTCTGCACTCTAGGGGGAGGCAGAGAGCACAGCATACATACATACACAGATACATGTACATATATACACAGACACATGTACACACAGACACATGAATGTACATACACACAAACACATGTACATGCACACACACACAGACACATGTACACACACATACATGTACACACACGCAGACACATGTACAGATACACACATGTACATACACACAGACACATGTACAATTGTACATGCATACACAGACACACACACACACACATGTACATGTACACACACACACAGACACCCCATAAAAAGTTGCAGTACTTCATTGTTCACTGACAGAGCCGGGTACTGCACTCTAGGGGGAGGCAGAGAGCACAGCACACACTGCGCTCAGCTATTGAGCAGTCTGACGGCTCCCAGTGCCAATGACAGATCCAGCCTGAGCTCAGAGCCTGCTCAGCAAGACGGCCCTGGGGGACACACTCGCCCCCACCATAATTTCCACTCGCCATTGGCGAGCAGGCAAGTGGAAATTTCAAGCCCTGTTCTATGGTATGCATTTCTGGCTGTTTTACATATGAAATTGGGAACGAGAACTAGGAAATAAAATTACACCTGAAGACTGGGCTAAGGCCTTTCTCTTTACATTTAAGATGGCTTTAGCCTCCCAATCGTAGGAGAGAAATGATAAAATTTTAACTAGATGGTATCACAGCCCAGCCTTATGAAATATGATTAATCCGGCGATTTTAGATCAATGTTGGAGATGTGGTGAGCCAGGAGGCACCTACTTACATATGGGGTGTTCCTGCCTAGCGATAAAACCTTTTTGATTAGCCACATTTCAGTCATTTGGTTACAGGTAGGACCTGGCCAGAGACTCCAGAGGCAGCTCTTCTCTCAATAATACCCGGGTCAATTGAATCTATTAAAAAGGGAGTATTTCGATTCCTTCTATTAGCCGGAAGAGCCCTGATTCCTAGGCATTGGAAATCCTCAACAATACCTACAATAAGGGAATGAGTGAAAGAAGTAAACCACATTATGCGCATGGAGGAGTCAATAGCTATAACAAATGACAATTATGCCAAGTTTAGGGAAATATGGTCCCCATGGGTCGAGTTCTCTGTCTCTTCAAGACTATTGCCCTTTATGAGATAATAAGCTCTGGTATCTTTGTATTTGAAGTCATGTTTGGGTAGTCTAGTTTTGTGAACTCGGTGTAGAGTTATTCACCCTGAGATCATCACATAGGACAAGGGGACACTCTTTACGTCTGGAGGAAAAGAAATGTAATCTCCAAACACAGAAAGGTTTCTTCAAAGTGAGAGCTGTGAAAATGTGGAATAGACTCTCTCAAGAGTTGGTTCTGGCCAGCTCAGTGCATTGCTTTAAAAAAGTCCTGGATTCTTTCTTAGATACACAGAATATAACTGGATACTAACATTTATAGGTAAAGTTGATCCAAGGAATATCCGATTGTCTCTCGGGGGATCAGGAAGGAATTTTTTCCCCTGAAGGAGCAAATTGGATCGTGATTTGCTGGGTTTTTTTTGCCTTCCTCTGGATCAACTGTTGGTATAGGATTATAACTTTTTTTTTTTAATGGTTGAACTGGATGGACGTTTGTCTTTTTTCAACCAGACTAACTATGTAGTTTGTCAGCATTAAAAATATAGTAGATAATACCTATGTCACTTTAGAGGTGATGGTGGGCTCACATCACCTCTTGTATGCCCTTCTGTCAGGGCTCCAGGTATGACCAGAGATGTGTGGACTGACACAGGGAAACGCAGGCTTCAGGTATAGTATAAACAATACAATTTATTAAAGACTAAACAATACATAAACGCAGTGCAAGACTAAACATAAACACAGTGCAAACAAACCAAACCTCCAACAGATAACAATAAGAACAATACTAAACGTAGTCGGGCAGGCCGGGTTGGTAGCAAACGGGCAGGCAAGGTACAAGGAGCAGGCGGAAGAGTGGTTAGGAATAGCCGAGGTCGGTACAGGCAGAGTTCGTGCAGAGTCAGGATTCAGGCAGGCTCAGGATACAGGGACAAGGGAAACTATACACCAAGGCCCTGACTGCAGGCCTGGCCACTCCTTAAATACACCTCCTGCAATCAGCCTCAGGTGATGACTTGATTGCAGGAATGAGCGTCTGGCTGCTGAGAGCACCCGCTGGCCAGCCCTGGTACTGCAGCCCACACGGCAGGTGAGTCCCACCACCAGTTGTGAGTCCATTCCTGACACCTTCTTTTTTCTTCTCTTTTCTTCTCTTCTCCTTCTCCTTCTCCATTTATTTGTTTATTTTTTGCTTTGTTCATTCTTGATTATTTTAATAGTGGAAAAGGATGGCTTTGATAGCAAACATTCTGCCATTGCATATTTGTACAATTATGTTCCTACTTGGAAGTTGTAGGACAGGTATAGATGTTATCATTACTAATGCCTAATGTAAATGTAGTAATGGGGGGATGTTAAGTGATTTTATTGTTGATATGGCGCCATACTCTTCAATAAAAATGTATTAATCAAAAATCTTTACTTTGCCACCATTTCTTTCTTCCAGTCAATCCTATTAATTGTTTGATCATATTTATTTGACTATTGTCTACTGAGCAACGGGCTTGGGGGTGTTGGGAACTGGCTTGATCAGAATTTATGGGATGTTCGTCCATAACTTTCCTAGAGTTCTCCTCTGCCTTAAACTTTTGGTTGGAGGTCTAGTGTTGTACCCAACACAAATATTATCTTTCCAGAAGATGTTTGTGCTGAATAAATAATAAGTGGCACAAAAGACTTGAGTATTTTTTTTTTGTATATGGTCAATAAAATGTGAACTGCTATCCTTGACTAAAAAATCAACCACACTCATACAAAAACATCACCTTTGACCTTTAGTAACCAGGAATGAGTTATCCTAACTATCTGTTAGACGATGAAAAAGAGGCCTTGGGTATTTATTTAACAAAGTGCCCTTAGACTTAAATTATAGCTGTTCTCTGTTGTGGCAGCTGCTAAAAGGTTGCAAGTTAGAGGTCAGGTTGCAGATTATTGGTAGCAAACTTACTCCATAAAGGAACCCTAAAAGTGTAACCTCCTGAAATCACCAAAGAGCTCGACATAATATATAGCAGGTGCAATGCTGCATGAAACTGTTAGAGACTGTCAGAGACTGCATTTGTGGTCCAGGAGATGGTTGGACCATAGGAGATGGTACAGCTAATGGTTACAGTAGTGGCTGGAGACTAGGACCTGGGGTGGACTGATAACTCATGGGGCCCCCGGGCAATAAGGGATCATGGGGCCCCTGTGTCTTTGCCCAAACTCAAAAAAGCCTATGAAAAAGGTACCAGGGGCATCTCATGGGGCTCCCTACTGACCGCGGGCCCTCGGGCATTGCCCGAGTTTCCAAATGGTCAGTCCGCCCCTGACTAGGACCATACTGTAGGAGACTATTAGAGACTGCAGACATGTTGCATGAGACTAATAGAGATCATTGCCATTAAAGAGTCTTTTAAAATCAATGCCTACTCATTTGTGTTCTCTACAGCCCCTTTAACCATTTCCATACCGGGCACTTTTACCCCCTTCCTGCCCAGTCCGCTTTTTTTTAGGTTTCAGCGCTCTCACACTTTGAATGACAATTGCGCGGTCATACAACATTGTACACAAACTAAAATTTTATCATTTTCTTCACATAACTAGAGCTTTCTTTTGGTGGTATTTAATCACCGCCGGGCTAAATTAACAAAAAAAGACCGAAAATTTTGAAAAAAAAAACACGTTTTTCTTTGTTTCTGTTATAAAAGTTGCAAATAAATAATTGTTCTTCATAAATTTAGGCCGAGATGTATTCTGCTACATATCTTTGGTGAAAATAACCCAACATAGGATGTATTTTGTAGTTTGTAGGAAACTTATAGAGTTCACAAACTATGGGATAGATCTGAATATTGATCAATCCTGAAGTACTGACAGCCAATCTAATTTCTTGAGGTCCAAGAATGTCAGAACAGTACAGATATCCCCCAAATGACCCCTTTTTGCAGAGTAGACAGTTCAACGTACTTCATAAGAGGCATGGCGAATTTTTTGAAGTTGTATTTTTTTTGTCATAATTTTTCGGAAAATGAAAAAATAAAAATAATTATTTTCACTATTTTATTTTTACGTATTGTCACCAGTGCAGTACAGCGTCATCATATAACTGGCATGGCGGTGATCAGGGACACTGACTGGTGACAGTATGAAAAAAAAAAAAAATATATATATATATATATTTATTTATTTTTTAATTTTTTATTACATTTTTTGTAATTTTTTAAAGATTTTTTTTCATATTTCACTATGTCCAAAGTTATTATAGTAACATTGTACTACTTTGGGGAAGTGATCAGTATTTTTTTTTTTACACAATTTGCTTATAGCAAAGAATTACTTTGCTATAAACAAGCATTTACTTGAATGACCGATTCATTCAGGCTTTTTTTTTGTTTTTGTGCTTAGCTGTGATTTGGCCACAGCCAGGGGCGGACTGACCATTTGGAAACTCGGGCACTGCCCGAGGGTCCGGGGTCAGTAGGAGGCCCCATGAGATACCCCTAGTACCTTTTTCATAGGCTTTTTTGAGTTTGGGCAAGGATACAGGGGCCCCATGATCCCCTATTTCCCGGGGGCCCCATGATCCCCTATTGCCCGGGGGCCCCATGAGTTGTCAGTCCGCCCCTGGCCACAGCTAATCACATGACATGTGCATACGATCGCTGACCATTCACAGCTAGACACTAGTATACAATGGATGGCATGAATGAAGCCATCCATTGTATTCAACTGTCATGTGACCTGCTGTGATTGGTCACAGCAGGTCACATGGTACCGGCAATGGGGCCGGTTCTCAGATCTGTCACCGGCCGTGTCCGAGGTAAACGGCCAGTGACAGATCGTGCCGCTGCACGGCTCTGCAAGCGAGAAAACTGTGCATTCCTGGGAGAACGACCATATGGCGTCCACCTGGAAATCTACAGCATTTTGCAGGCCACCAAACGGCTATTGGCCGGGCGTCTTTTGGTTAAAGGGGCTTCCTGAAGACGATCTTTGATCGAAACGCGTCAAGGTTTGATGATGCAATTTCCGCCGATGTCTCATCCGCCCTATGGAATGCACGCTGCTCAGAGGAGCGATCACTACAGGCGGCTTCCATTTTCTCTCATTGCAATAGCAACAAGGCTGAGTACACCGGGTGCCGGGCTTAGGCACTTCTCTTGTGAGTGTATTCCTTTACTTAATTCCCCAAAATAAAGGTATAAAGCGGTTCTACACTATGGGATGTCCCCTTTCTGTTCTTTTATTACGGTAACACATTGCATGCCCTGCCTGTGGAGGTTAGGATATAGTGGGTTTTCTAGAATTCATTTTCTGGCATGGACCATTCCAAGAATAGCTGGTCACAAGCTGCAACATTCGGTTTACGGGGATAGTCCTGCAAGCGTGAATGACCATTCTAGAGATAGATGGTCATTGGATAATGGTGAGTGTCAG